AGAGAATATTCCGCGTGCAGAACTGAATTGGAAAATTGTAAATGTATTTTAAGTTGGACAAATTGGTTGTATTTGACATAAACATTTTCAAAGTGCAATTTAAAACATATATATATTCAGTCCATGAAAGAAAATTTCAAGTTAAAAACGTCAATTTAACGTTTGGACAGGCTTTTACAAAACGGTTATGTAAATTACAGGGTTATGCAAGTCAAAGCAAACATTATTAGGCTATCATACATTTGACACCTTTCATCCTCACGGTACTTGTTCTTGTATATAATATCTAGTTCGGTTTCGGTTGGTGCATTTCAATTACTACATGATCATTAGACATAGTGAGGTCTGATGCTAAAATATAGTCAACATTTGTTTAGTAACGGAGAGATCGCCACCTGCTCGTAAGATATGTGAAAATTATGTCTTTTTATTATACAGATGATTTCTAACGCGCGCTCTGATTGGGCAAAAAAGTGTGGTTTATGAGAGTAGAAACCACGATTGTGCGCGAACGATTTTTGAAAAAGGCAACAAAATGGATTTTTGCTTAAGTTTTCAGCCTGTGGTTTATACTCGGTTCAGCTCGTGCTTCTTGACATTTTCTTGTGTGTTTCAAATACCAAGCGTGCGTTTATCAGAGTTTCATAGAAATAACAATATCGAGTGAGTAAAATGCCAATAGCTTTCGATCGGGAATTTGCCGTTCTTATAGAAAACATTATGTAAAATAGCTGTATGAATCAAATTTTCCTTCAGTCCCTACGTATCAAATAAATAATGTGGATTACTTGGTATTTGACTCCGGCGGATACTTATGGGTGGTTTGAGAAATATGTGAATGTGTCCTGAATTCAAGGTGTAACCTGGTATCTTAGTGTTTTAAAAGATACAAGCAACGTGCAGCTGCGTTGGTGCAAATTTGAATTTTTTCATCCTTTGTTCAATTGGAAGTTTAGACCTATTATAACAGCCATGTTTTTATCATAAACGTTGAGCTTGTACTTGTTTTTTAGAAGGAAATATGAATAACCCTGGATTATATACTCTTGAAAGTGGTCATATATTTTTGTTTAATGCAGGTGAGGTCTCAGTTATTATTGCCATTAGTTTATGGTTCATTTACACTGTTAGTTTATTAGGATTCTGTAGGATTCTGCAACACTAATCTGGGATCGTATTGACGATATTGCTCATATTCAAGTTCCAAAAGAATGTAAGTTTATCCTTGTTCGTCCATGAAAAAATTGTGAGCATTTCTTTTGCGATTCTTAAGCACACATCTCTGTTAATCTGCATTGCTTTATTGTGCATTTTCATCTGGAATATTACCTCCCTGGTGATTACTTCCCGTCCCACATAGTAGCCTCCGCATGCATCTTCTAAATCTGATGTCTTGTAGTGCATAGATAAACGGATTGATGCTGGAGTTTAGCAAGAGCAGCACCAGGCTAACTTGAAACCACACAGGAGCAATTATCTTACGATCTTCAGCAATGAAGATCGACTGTCGGGAAAGAAATACCGAGATAGCGTAGTACAGAAGGTTAGGTATCCAGCACACAAACAGAATCACTGTCACAGTCAGAACAACTCTTGTGATTCTCTTACGTGATTTCATGAGTGATCGTTGGGAAATATTTTCCACTTGGTCATTTGAAAACCAAAGCATCTGAATGATTCTGCCATATAACACGATTAACGTGGATACTGGAATGATACAGGCAACCATAAGCCAAAGCATCGAATCAAACACCGGGAGCCAATTCCACATCCAAACATACCCACACCACTTGGTTTTACTATTGTATGCTGTTGCTGTTGTCTCCGGGAGACATACAACACCACCAATAAGCCAACTTGCGACGATTACGATTTGGATTTTTTTGCGAGTGAACCTCGGTGCATGGGGTTTCACAATGGCAGTATATCTTTCAAACGCTATGGCAAGAAGTGTGTAGACACTTACACAACAACAAAGCCAGCCCAAGTTCCCATGTGTCAAAAATATGCACAGCACATCACCCGTCAGACCGTCTGGATGGTCGTACAAACCCTGGAGTATTACTCGAGGAAGAGTGAATAACCCACCTAATATGTCGCATACAGCGAGGTGAACGAGAAGGTAGTTCATCGGTGTTTGCATCCATGGAAAGCGGCGTACGGATAGACAGACCAGGGAATTCCCTGCAATGTTCACGATAACCATCACTGTGAATGTGATTTTAAAGGCGATAAAGGCCTCCTGAGAGAGGGCCGTCATTTTACTTGAATTTTCTCTGTTTTGGTAACAGCAGATGAAGTACTAGAATGTAGGCGAAACGTGCCTTGGAAAGGGTGTAATGTTACTGATTGAATTTCTCAAAAGGTTGTTCAATATTAGGTTTTCAATTTGGTACGAGTTCATTTGGTAAATAGACTAAATAAATATTAGCTTTAAGTAGGCTTCACTCTGTTTCAAACAATATAAGAAATGTTTTCATTATCATTCTACCAAATAAAATTCCATGATAGCAATAAAAGGTAATAATACTGGACACGTTACATAAAAAAAATCAGCGGGCGGTTTACAAGTGTGTATTCATTAAATTTCCCATAAGGAATGTAATTTTGAATTTATAGCTATCAAAATAAACTTTTAATAATAAGAGTTGAAGCATCGCTACTTTAATTAAATTGAGAGTGAGAAAACAGTTGGATTGATGTCGATGTAATGTGCTGAATGTGTTTATAGAAGATCGATGTCATGTGTTTTGAAATATTGCTTATTCCATTCAACATCTGAACGAGCTGACTCTACTATTGGGTGAGCAATGTTCCATGTCATTTACGTGGTTTGTAGAACTCTTTTAAGAATTAGAAATTGATATGACCGTTTCGAAGAGCTTTTGGTGTAATATCTTGTGGCTTGTGTAATAAATTTCTAAGAATTCAATAACACCTGCCGCAGTATATGATATACCTGAATGAAGACGTGATTGAGATCCAATAGGAAAATTTGGACCGACATTTTCAAGTTCAAGGAAATTTTTATACTCTTTTAATGGAATTGGAGAATTCGAAACTGGATTATTCTCGGTCTCGTATCAAATATAGCTTTGAAACTCATTGACGGTTAAAAAACGTGGAATATTTTTCAAGGAAAATGTCTCATGGCGAGACTTGTTCGATGGGTTTAATGCCCGCAATAGTATATTAGTAGTGTTTGCAGCCATTGAATTCAAACCACAATATATTTTGAATATATTAATTACGTATGGAAACCCCGAGATTCTTTGCAGGCTCAAGACTGTGGACTGTGTCGTGGTGACGACAACGTTTTTTGAAATAGGTGTATACTTGCAGCGCCGCGATCGATTTGATAGATTTTGCGTATGATCTTTTCACATCATTTTTTGAATATATCATTGTAGCGAAAATTTAGCATTCAGATTGCAGTCGCATTATCCTTAGAGAATTTATAAGATGTAAGTTGCTTTGCATAAAATGATTTTAGAAAAAAGAACGAGTATATATTTTAAATAAAAGCTGCTACAGTCGAGAATCGATCCCGAGATCGTCAGTTCAACGCCGCTATTCAAAAATGATCTTGCGTGTAAAATATGTAAAACAAATATCCACATAAAAATAAGAATTAGTATATTTGATTAAAAAAAAGAAAGAAAGAAAAAAAGAATTGCTTAGAAGTGATCAAGTCGAGAACCTAACCCGCGATCTTAAGTTCGACGCTATTCGAGTACGATAAAGGTCTTTATTGATCAACAGATTTCAACAAACGTGGAATCTTTACAAATTACTAGTATTAAAGAATAATAAAATGAAGAAGAAATATGTATTAAAATTATTTAAAAAGACATCTGTTTATGAAAGAATCTTTGTAACGTTCGGTCTTAACTTTCGGTCTGAGTAAAAATCTAAATAATGGCTCGGAAATAATTGTTAAACGAATATCTACAGAAAATCATCTTGATTTTCTGTAGATTTTTGTTTAATAATTATTTTCGAGCCATTATTTTGATTTTACACATTATACTCGAATAGCGTCGAACATAGGATAACAGGCCGTGATCCTATGTTCGACGCTATTCGAGTATAATGTGTAAAATCAAAATAATGGCTCGAAAATAATTATTAAACAAAAATCTACAGAAAATCAAGATTACTATAACAACTATATATTATATTTAAAAAGAAAAAAGAAACAAAAAAGTGATCGAGACGAGATTCGAACCCGCGATCCTCTGTTCGACGCCGATGTTCGAGTATTATCTTGATAAAACAAAATGCTACGATAAAAATCGAACATGACTATAGAACACTTATATTTCAGTTAAAAAAAGAAAAAAAAGAGAATTTTTCAGACGTGCTCCAGTGGAGGATCGAACCTTGGAACTCTGGATTATTCGCCCCGTGTAAGAGAATCCGGAATCCGGAATCCAGCAAAAATACAGCTTTGGAATCCGGAATCCCTATCCTGGAATCCAGAATCCAACTATTTGGAATCCAGAATCTGGATAGTTAGGAAGACTGCTTTTATCGGTGAAAATCTAGCTGTTGAGAGATGGGAACGTAAATCTGTACTTCATATACGTAGTTTGACGCTGAATATAAAATTTTTAGGAAAAAAAAGACACTGAATATCACGCCATTTATTATCAGGAATCCAACACAAAAATTCTTTGGAATCCGGAATCCCAAGGCTTGGAATCCGGAATCCAATGTTTCGGAATCCGGAATCTTGCGCTTGGAATCCGGAATCCTCTAGTTCTCTGGATTCTCTTACATGGGGCGAGGATTATGGGTCCCTTGGGATTGCTAAACTGCGACGTGGATTTTATAACCGTGCCGCAGCCTTCGGCCTGGACACGGTAATGATCTATAAAATACCTATATTTCTCCATTACGTAAAATGTTATTTTCACTAAAATAACACATCCGTGGTATGACTATGTATGTGATAAACAGGATATTACATGTTCGCTTGGAGATACCAGGCGCGTAGCTAGCGTTGAGGGGGAGGGGGTTCTTGTTTATTTTGTGTCAAATTCAAGCCGTTTGTAAATGGAGTTTATTTGCTTGGCTGCCGAGCACAACATTCCTCATTGTGGAAAAATATGACAGCATGTAAGTGTCTACTAAAACTTTTTGCCATTTCTTCACTCAGTAAACAGATCTGGTAGCCTCCAATTATACGGACACTTTTTTCTTCAACTTGGACCCATGGTCCTTCCACGAAGGTTACATTCTTTAAATCTTTCTTTATTTTTGGATCTCTACGCCAGCACCTTTTAACATGTTCCTTTAGTTGTTTTTCCTTAACCTTTTCCTTACCCTTTTCAAAGAAGCTCATTGCTCTCATCTCATCAATCTCATCATTTGGTATCTTAAAAATCAAAACAGATTGATGTGTATCGTTACGACGGAATGCACAGGTCTCAGCCCCGGTAGGTCCGTCGAATTTGTCGGTCAAATAAAATCCTTTGCCAACACTAAAGTCTAAGTTTTTTGAAGCTTTTTTTATTGTTTTGTCTAGCTGATCGTGGGATATTATAATACCATTATCCATGATGTTTACAGCTGAGGCTTTGTTGGTGCCATGGTAGAGGATTTTATAGCCATCTTCTGTCAAGTTACTGATAAAGTCAGTTCCAATTTTCTTAGGCTTTTTACCTCTTATGTTTAAAATGTTGATTGGATCCTCCCTCACCTTTCGTAGTTCTTGAAACCATTCTCCATCTAGAAGAAAAAATAGAAGATCTATCAGTTTCGATTGTTACTAATCTATAAGTTTCTCTTAACAGCTGGACTCCTATAGACGTATTTTATTTATTCATTTATTTAGAAGGAATTTGCGAACACAGGAAAGGAATGTAGCTCTGTAGTCAATGACTCATAGATCCGTCACTCAAGCCTGTCAAATAATGGCAACACTTCATTTTGACCTTTTGGGATCCCTCCCGCATCCTCCCGCTAAGTTTTATACCGGCCCACAGTTTCCCTCGGTCATATTGAGGAAGATAGGAAGCCCAAGAATAGACCGGCCTGTGGAGTAGGCTATAAAGCTCAGAAAAGGCGAAGAGAGGTAAAAATCCTCACGAGGGGTAACAATCCCCAATGCTCAATCTCTTTGGTACAAATGGTGAAATTTTAACTTTAACCTCATTGAATCATTTGGACAAGCAAAACAAACATTAAAACGTCGTCGACATCTCTCAGATATGAATCAGAAATTGCAAGGACACTGGGTCAGGTACATTGTGTGTACATGTGGGGCTTGTATAAACTATATAATTCTGAAAATTTGAGCTTTATACATGTGTTTAAGCTATAAGAACTTTTTTTTAAACTGACAAGGATTCTATGATCAATGCTTGCCAGTCAGTGATATAAGCATTTTGTTTGCCTTTGAAAGATTCTATCTTATCTTTAGAGTTTTAGGTTCCATAACTTTCCGTACGGCTCGAGCAAGCGAGGTTAATAAGATATTTATTATATAGCATTTTCAGGAAAAGGTACGGTAGTAAAATTAATAGAGAAATAAAATACGTTTTTATTCATACTTTTCTTGTCATTCAAAATAGAAGGAAAAACGAAAAGCGTGAGAGACCTCAATGTGACATTTTTTTTGGCCGTGTTGACAGGCAGCCAGAAATTATTGTTGAAGACTCGCGCCAACTGTGATTTTGCACAGCGGAGATGTCAATAAACAAAACAAATTTAATTACCATAGTTTCGTAGTAGCACTAGAGATAATAAAACTTTAAAAAATACGATATATTTTTTAATAATTTTAATATATTTTTTTAAATATATTTTTTATTTTTATATTTTTTTAATCTTAACATGTTTCAGAAGAATGAGGATGGCATAATGTAATGCTGAAACATGTTAAGATTTAAAAAAATATATATCRTATTTTTTAAAGTTTTATTAAAACAAATTTAGTTGGTGTTAGCTCTTGCAACAACAATAATACCATTCTCTCTGTCGAATCCAGTCGTTCTGCTTACTATCGGTGTCCCCATCTTGGTTGGTGTGCAAAATGTTGAGACTTGGATTCAGTGTGACGTCGAAATAATTGCCACATTTATGTGACGCTCGTCCACACGGGAAATTATCGATATGTGACAATTACATAAACTAGCATGCCAGCTTTCCAGTAACTACAGTTGTCACATAAAATTTGTCCAATTTTGCTCATCTACCGCGGGCAATTAAAAATTGTCACATAAAAATTGCTCGTCTAGACGGGGCTTAATTCACAGGTCTGAAGTTCAAGACTCAGAGGAGCTGACATTTCTTTAGATTTCTTTCTTTACCAAAAAATAAATAAATTCAATCAAATATAGAACAGGGAACCCGGTAACGGCAACTTAATGAAAAAATTAATAGAGAACAATGAGAATAAATAAATAGTTTTGAACACAAGTAACGCAGGCTCAAGTTTACAGGAAAGTGAGTGAGTGAGTGAGTGAGTGAGTGAGTGAGTGACAGATTCGTCCCCCTCCAATAACTCTTCGATTGCTTCGCAATCTTCGAGTTAAAAACAGCAAACTCATTGCATGACTGAAGATGTCAATGAAAAGTCACTTATGTATATATGACGACAAAGAAAATACCATTTGATAATCAATATTACATTTTTAGATAGAAGGAGCATAGGGATTTAACGATAAGCAAGATTAGTTGCACACATCATTGCACTAAAGCTGGCCTGGTTACCAAGGCGACGAGCGAAGGACTGTCGAGTGATGTTAATCGACAAAAAAAAAGTTCGGGAGTTATTATTCGGGTCAATGCCTCTGTTTGCTTTTATATGCGACAACAGTGTGTACTTTACTCTAATTTACTCTCTACTTCGGGTAAATAAACTCTGGGAGAGATGCTGGCTCTCAAGACGTCGATTAGTTATCTATCTATGAAATCTTTTCACTTTTGTATGTAAATAACTCGTTATCAGTTATTGTCTTAGAGTTCCAAGTATAGTATAAACGATTCCATATTGTATTCTAGAAAGTTCGGTTTGCTAGATTTTCGATCAACTAAAGAACCTTGATAGAATATAGAATAAAAAGTTTTGGAAACATATCAGACAAACAGCTTATAGAATCCTGTAGAATAATCCACATATTCAATACCCTAGAGGCCAGTGGAGGTACTCACCAACTTTGCCTAATTTTGAAGAAAAAAGCTAAATGGAATGAAATTTTGTGACCGATGAATATTGTGTACATGAGCTTCTTTGTTTCATCCCACCTGTGGATTATGTAGCGTGTTTCTGAATATTGCATATAGTAAATTCCGCTTAAATGAGAAATAAGCATCATTGGAAAACTTCGTGTTTTAGGTAGGCTCCTCGAGCCTTAATCAAAGAATTCCAGTTTCATATTCGTGCCCAAATCATAACGGAGTTCGCAAAGAATAGCGAGGAGGCAAAAGAAGAGATTAAGATTTTCAATGGTGATTTAAAGTCACCTGAACCATAAGTTTGTCTGGTCGATTTCGCTACGGAAGGACACGGATAATAGCTAATTTCACCGATTAGATCATCGTCAGTACTTAAGGAACAGGTCAAGTTATAACTAACCGTCAATGGAAGATCCCGCGCTGGTTGAGGCACTTGATGAGGCTCTTGACTCTGGTTGAGTGTCCTTGATTCTGGATGTGTGCTTTTGGCGTTTCTTGTTAACTTCGGTATCATCGCTACTTTCTTGCTGCCCCATAGATCGTCCTCTTTTCAATTGTCTTTTGGACATAATGGTGTAATCAGCTCACGATAGTGGACACGAATAGAGGCAAAATCAAAAAAGGTGCGAAAATCCAAGTTTTCGTTTCGGCTGTGATGCGTCTCTTGTAGGTCTTGATTATTCAGTTTCTTTATATTCAGTTGGAAGTGTCTGTTTCAACGAATTCTATTATCAAAGTCCACCAGACCAGTTATGTCGCTTACTGCATGCCGAGATAAAACAAAGCAATTTCTGATTGGCTTTTGCTTGGATCAGCTAAGGTTTATTGGTTGTCAGCTTGTTTTTATATAAGACTTCGCATAAGATAATTTGATGCACAGTCAACGACTTCTGTCAGACTGTTATTATAAAGTTTGAAATAATTTCTTGCATCATTTCTTTGTGGCGGTACTTAAAAGCGAACGTTCTGGACTAATTTACGCAGGTCAATCTCGACATGGTGTATGCCGTTTCTATGGAAACACTTATTTGCTGTTTTGTGGTACCGAGGGCTCATTACTCGTGCATAAGGCTTCGTTCGATAGTTTGCTTGTAAAGCTCTGCTCAAAAAAGAAATCCTTTCTTTTTTGAGAAATATTGGAAAAATCAATGACAGAGATTACTGAAATAGGACTGAATTTTGTCAGAAACAGTGTTTTACTTGTTTGAAACGAGATTTTTGTAGGAAAAATCGTAATGATATAAAGTGCATATATATCTGTATTTAACAATTATCTATATGTAACCTCATATTGTAGTCAATTGGTATAATTTTATTAATATATATGATATAATTATGATCTCTCAATTTTGTTGTTAATCTGGTATGCCGATGTCTATTTTTTCGCGAAGTCGTCACCAGATCCATAAATAACATTTCAGACGATATAATAAGGTAATCTAAGTAGGTGATCTAAGTAGGAAATCTAATGTGCTGTTTTCTTCCGAAAGATTTTGTGTATCATGGAAATTGCCTCAGAAAAGTTGTCCTTCATTTGGCAACCATATTTTGGTAATTTCAACTTATTTGGAAGTACGTAAGAAGTGTTTTTTTTAATCGAATTTTTTTAAAGCTTAAAATTGCGAAAACACTCCTGAACAATCGGCCATTTTGTTTGTTTCCATATATGGCATGGATTTGCTAAAGGAAGAGCAAAACTAAAATGCACAGGGATCCCGCACGAATGACATACAGTTCTTTGATATGTAGTTGGCATTCCTGTCTTGGTACATTTGCTTACTCGTGTATCTCAGTCCTGGACATGGCGTCCTGTACAACACCTATGATTGAAATCATCTAAAGACCATCAGCTTGTCTTGTTTCTCTGTACTTGTTTGGTATTACTCCATTGGTACAGTTGCTTACTTATGCACCTTACTAAGGCCTTATGCACCACTGGGTGCGAAGCAGCGCGGTAACAGTTGCTTATTCATGCATCTCACTCCGGAACATGGCGTCCTGCACACTAACACATATGCATGAAATCATCTATTCTTCCATTGGTAAAGTTGCTTACTTAGCATCTCAGTCTCCTGGTTTCCCGTACATGCAGCACCTATAAATAAGCCTGAGGTATTCTAAAGGGCTTCACCTTGTGTTGTGCTCTTGTCTGCTGGAAGACTTGGTCTTCTTGTATTCCTCCATCGGCACAGCAGCTTACTCATACATCTCCTGAACCTAGAGTCTTGTACAGCGTATACAAATGGGTTGACGCTTGAATTTAGAAGCAGGAGCACATGACTGATCTTGTAGAACACCGGCGCTACTGTAGTCAGGGTCTCGTTAGTGGACGGAGTCTGTGGCGTGTAAGAAGTAATAAAATAATACAAAAGATTCRGCATCCAACACACAAATAAAATCACCGTGACAGTCACGGCAGCTTTCGTGACTCTYTTGCGTGACTTATGCAATGATCTCTGGGAAACATCAGTGATTTTATGCTTAGAGCACCAAAGTGTTCGGATGACTCCACCGTACAAGGCTAGCATAATTAGACATGGTAGACACCCCACTGCGAACAACCAAATGGCAGCATCTAATTTGACGGCCCACGGCGCCATCCAYTTATAGTCACATGACTTGATGGAAGGATCGTATTTTACAACTATTAGATCCAGTAGGCTTATCAGGAACGCCAGCACCCAACAGAGCACCACGGCTATCTTAATCTTTTTAATAGAAAATCTCACCGAATGGGGTTTCATAATGGCGTTATACCGTTCCCACGCTATAGCGATAAGGGTGTACACACTGGCACACGATGCAGGCCACGAAAGGATCCCAAAAGTCAAACATTTGCACAAGAAATCTCCCAGCGAACCCTCGGGGTGCTGGTAATGTTCAAAGAATAAGTGCCGCGGCATGAAAAATATTCCAACTAACATGTCACATACGGCTAAGTTCACTAACAAGTAGTTCATTGGTGTTTTCATTGATTTGAATCGGTGAACAACCCAGCACACCAAGCCGTTTCCCAACATGTTCACTGTTATTAAAATGGCAAAAACTATCTTGAAAAYGATCTTGGTTTCCTCGGAAAATGACATCTTGGGAATCAACCTCCTGTGGAAGTATCCGGGTGTTGCGTGCTCAACTGAAAAAAAAGAACACGGTGTTAAAATTTATCTTTTTACATAACTGTTTTTTTAGAAACACCGACGCAGCTCATGCTAGTTTACCGCTAGTTTCAACCATTTTCAACAAGAGAATAGGAATTGTCTAAGGATTATTTTGATGCATAGCAATTTATAAACGTTTGGTATGCAAAGTTGATAAGCATTTCCCTCTGCATAACAAAAAACGCTTTGAAATGTCGTTGTAGAGRAAAATAAAGTTAAAGATGCTTTTAGTTTTCATTTGATTTTTATCTAGTTTGTTATTATTATTGTATTGATTTATAATTAATTCATTATTATGATTAGCGTATTTTGACTTGTAGGATAGTACGCTATATAAATAAACTATTATTATTATTAATATTATATTCAGCGTGGTTGCAGGGGTATGGGGTGGTCATTTTTGACTAGTATATACTACTCCATATGACTTCAAAAATAATCATTATAATGATCAATTGTTATTAATATTCTTCGGTATACTTTAGTATATTTAGACCGAAAAACTCAAGCCTTAACATGCTTGAGGAAATCAAGATGAAATTAAGTTATTAATATTATTATTATATTATTATTATAATTGTTATTATTATTTGTAAGGTGGATTTTTATTATTTGTAAGGTGGATTTATGATTTGTCATTACAAAAACAGTATTGCACAATATGGAAATTTAGCACCGTAATTACGTTAGTACGCGATTGGTTGTTATGCAGATTGTACATAGATTTGAAAACTTTTGTTTCAAATGACCCTCTATCACAAYGGCCGCTTCTCATTAGCATACAATTTTTCAACCCAATGCAACTGAATGGTCCCGAAATATTAAAGTACATGCTTCTCTTAAAAGCTGTTTAAAATCCGAGTAAGTTCTAATAAATACCGACAGTTGATATGATTATTTTCAAATCCGCTTTGTTTTTACCGAGAAATGTATGCCCGGGGGTAATTATGCATTTTAAAGGAACTTAATAGGGTTTTAAACAGCTTTTAAGGAAAACATATACATGAATATTTCAAACAACTTTGAGMGAATATTCACTTTCCGTTCGTCTAAAATGGTCTAGAATGTCTAGACTAGTAAACTTGTGGCCCTCTATATATATTCACTCACACTCACTCGCTAATTAATTCATTATTTTACTACACGACATTCATCACAGCTAGTTTTTGACGGAGGGAGGAAAACCAGCGGACCTGGAGAAAATCCCTCGGAGCAAGGAAGAGAACCAGCTTACAAACTTAAATCACATATAGTCCCGGACCGGGAATCGAACCAGATAGACCGGCGTTTTAACCGCTCGGCCATCCTTGCTCCCGAAAACCGAAAATATAATATGAAGACACGTGACAGCAACCTTTTCGAAATCGAATGTATTTAAGTAACGTTGAGCCTCCGTTAAGCGGTCACTTTGGGGAAAGACCAGGTGACCGGTTTAATAGAGTTTTTCCTTTTAATAGAGGTCATGTTTTACAGTAAATTTATGTGAGAATCGACTTTTGGAGAATTCATAGGTGACCGATTTATGGAGAGTGACCGCTAAATAGGGGGTCGTTTAATAGAGGTTCGCGTGTACTCTTAGTCGCAAGAAGCTTGTCAATATATGCAGCATTCAGTGATTTAGTGTATAAGAAATTATTACTGATGAAGGGGGGAGACTTTCAACTTAGTTTGTCTTTTACTAGTAATGACTTCCTTGACTACAAAATCCTACTTCGAAATGACAAGTGTACTATTGACACACATTATTTAAAGCAAATGTAACTGASCTTCCACCAAGAACGCTGTCAGACAAAAATAGAACRTTTGTATTCAATTAGTAAAGCAGGTTACTGAAGTTGMTCGACTTTTTCGTTTCGGCAATGAATTCACTATTTTCTAATACTTCGAAAATAGAAACCAAAATGAGCTTACATGTCATCTTATATCATTCTATTTAGCAAAATTTTGATGCAAATCGTATTATAAGTATATATATTTATAGTAGTTTTTCATACATTTTTTGACTTTTCCTTTTAATGTTCCATAAGCTACACAAGTTCCTAGTCTCCCTCAATCACGACTACTTTCCATACTCAGGTTCAGCGACCACGAACAAAGTATTGAACCGAGGCGTCAAKGAACACTGATCACAGATCTTTTCTTTTATGTYCACTGTACCTTGACGCCTCGGTATCAATGCTTTTTTGATGGTCACCGAACCTGAGGGCAGTTCATATGCCTTTTGAAGGTCTTCACAATTCAGCGTCGCTCAAACCTTAAAACGTCATAGAATTTKTAAAAACTGGTAAATTCCAGCATCTAGAACAACTTTGAATATTTCGACCTCGCAAAATAGCAAAAAAAAAGAAATGTAATCAAAACTTTCTAACTTACTATGATGTAGTCATTCCATTCACAGTGGGGAGTTGTCGCTGTGGCTATCAGATCCGAGAGTTCTACCTACTAAACTAATGGATGAAATTTAGGAATTGATTGTGATGTACAAGATCTCATTAATTATGTAATTCTCTTTGAGTCTGGCCAGTTATTTCTGRCTAATGGAAAGCTCTTAAAGTACTTTCGACTTTTTAAGACAGGGCTGAAAGGCTAATGGCTCTGAAAACAACCTGAAATTAAATTCAACGCGGCAAAGTAAGAGGATGATTGTGAATTAATGCTATTTTCAMAATGATTTTATAGTTCTTCATAAATTGTGGGACATCGAGGAACGTTTTTTTTTATTTATCACGCCAACTATATTTCAATCTTTAATACCAATCTACGAACATCAATCGAGAATAAATATTGACAAATCAACAAGTTTTGTCGTGTCTTAACGAATTGATGATTAAGTAAATGAAAGTTAGTTGCTTTAGAAATTTTTTAAATGATTCTTCCTCTTTACTTATTAAGCCTCGTATTTGCCAGTGTCGCTCTCTCCAAAGTGTGTAGATCATCTTTTTAGCCTTGACGTCATTCCATGTGAGTGAKATTTAGTGTTTGAAACTGGGCGTTATCGATGTTGAGCAAGAAAGATAGGCTGACATAASGCAMGAATGGAATTGACCTCATTATTTCATAAGAAAAACTCACGATGTGTGGTGAAGAGTGTCATAATGTGTTGTCTATACGACCTATGGTATCATGAGAATTTATGTGAATATATAAGCCATATATTTRCACTCCCAGCCATTGTATCATATTGATTCCAAGTGGTTTAATTAAAGTTTTCGCCATCATTTTCGGTTGTAAATTGAGTTTTYTCTCTCTCTTAAGAGTCAACGAATTCACTTTTTTWAATCCCAAGGATGTTCTCAAAATTTCTAAGCTAACTGGTCTGTTTTTGAAGTTAATATCTCCTTGAGTCAACACAATAAGTTCTGTTTTGCTTTTGTCATTTCAACCCAACTATTTGAGCATCTTTGATCCTTCATTTCGAGTAGCCGCGCAGCGAGTTTTAATTGCAAGTAAAGCTGGTTTTCTCAATTATAAAAATATATTACCAGGGAAGATTTTAGAGATTTGAAGGGGTTGTTATTATAGCCGGGACATCTTCGTTTTTCTATYAATAAAATATAATTATAAATGCTTTTTTTTACGAAAATTATTTATTGTGTATTCATTATTTTTTTCATCGAAAGACAACTGTTATATATGGCATTTTCCGGCCAACATGTATCTATAAACAAAACCTTCCCAACAAACTATAGATAAAAGKCCTTGACGAAACATTCCTTTTTAAAAAAGATAGAAAATTACTTTGCAATTAGAATTGTCACTTTTTCTAATTCAAATTTTCGATGATATACATAAAACATTTGCTAGCTGTTATTGTTAGAAATTGAGTAAATCAAACTTGCCAAAGTTTTGACTTTTCTTTCATTGATAAATAAAGGAGAGAGACTATTCTTAGTTTAAGTCAAAGGTATGGCTTTGATATTGAACCGATAAGCCGATGGGTGCATGTTTCTCATATATATTCGGGTGAAAAAACACAAAGCCCGTTTTGAATCTATTGTAATGTAGGTATTATTATTATTAACAAAAAAGAATAAAGGTTTTAAAAACGCAAGACATTTSATAGCTTTCAAGACCCACCGTTTAATGAGRCATATTTCCGTCCAAAACAGCGATATCTTTGCACGATTAATTCTTGTTAACAAGCGACAAGTTGGAATCAAATGCGCGCTTGTAATCCATTCTAGGTTGTTYTCCTCAAGGGCCAAATCTTCAATGAATAATCAATGACCTTCGTAGCAATCAGCTGCTGTTGATTTTGGAAGTTGATCACTCGATGCGTGGACTCAACGTRCTATCTTTATTACATCGCGACATTGTTATGGTATCGCGAAAAACAATCGTRTCAAATGTGCTTCTCACTATTGAAATACTGAGCAGTCCTAGCATGAAAGTCAGTCATTCGTACCCGGCAAAGTCTATTATTGGAATAATTTAGGGTGTCTGTTTACAGAAGGAGATATTAAAATGAAAAAATAAAGTCAACAAAAATGAAAGAGCGAAAGACCTGTATACATACATAATGCTATAAATAAAGTCATGCGATTTTTGAATATACTCGCATCTTTAATAATGGATTAGTATACCATGTTACTACGAGTCACATAGAATTAAAATTAACTCTTTTATCTTAAAAGTGTTTATGAATTTCGTTAATTTATAGATTCATGAAACTATAAATCAATAAAGGATTTTCTTGATTAATCAGCTTCTGATATTTTAAGTAAAAACAAAAAACGAAATATATTTTAACTTCCGGCATAAATAATTGACCAAAGTAGGTAAGGCCGAAAGGAATTGTCTTTTTTTGTCAGTATGAAGTGAAAATCTAATTACTTAGTAATTGTACTTCATTCGACGATAATCCGTTTTYGTACCGTTTTTTATTCTCATTTCCCAGCTTATGTGGCCAAAAAAGTGTGCAAATCCGCTGTATATGTTTAAGTTCGCTAACAATCTATACCGAAACATCAGGAATATGCGTAACATGTATAACGCAMGGAGACATTAAGATCACGCATTGCCTGCAGAAAGCCGGACGAAGGAAGCCTACGTCTACTTTAAGTAGGATATGTAGAGGTTTTCTTCTCTTTACTAAAAATTATCAAGAAATTGTAATTACATGCATAATATGAACAAAGCAACGAATACTCCAGTTTCGAGATCTTATTTGTGCAGCCTAATACCTTAAAATCATGAAWTATGAATAATTAATACACGACTCTTTCAGTCGATGGAAATGTTTGTGTTCTTCACCAAGTAGTTCAATATTAGTGAAAATAAAAAAATATTCTAATCTGATGTGAAGTTCAAATATTGATCMTAACCGTCAATGTTTATTTGTCTATAAAACCACTGTTCTCAAAAAGGCTTTATGGAATACGATCGCAGCATCTAGTAAGCTAACTATCTAGGTATGATGGTTTTATAATGTACAGTTAATTATAAAAAAAAAACAATTGTTGTTCTTAACTAAAAATGCGTTRTATGAATTTTTGAAAATATTATGAGTATTTCATATTTGAAATTATATTGTTTTCAAAAGATTTKATATGATGCTTCTTTCATTAAGCATAGGCCTTTTTCCCGTTCAAAGCGAGCAACCGTTTTAGTTGACACTCAGTTTCTCATGCGCAGAGAACTTACCAACAAGAAAGCACGAAAAAATATTGTCATTACGATAGGAAAATAGCCCTATAAATTTGCATTTTCTCACATTTGAGGCTAAAAAAGCCTGTATATTCTTCGTGTGCAACCACATGACCAGGAATTCCCTGAGAAATAAAGAACAAAGCTATCGCCGCCATGTTGGATGAATGAACAAGAGAAACTAATAAGGATTGTTTATGATTTTCATCCAACACGGCGGTGATGACGTAACTTGCACGCCAAGAATTCCCAGAAGGTTCAAACTCTAGATCTTGTGGGAATATGAATGATAAATCTAAATGAATGTAAATGATAAATCGGACAAGATTCACTATTTCTAGAGCTATTGTATAAAGTCAACATTTTTACGCAAGTGAGTCTGTTGTGTACTAAAACAACGGTCGCTTGCATTGAATGTGAAAAAGGCTTATTGCCTTTTGCCTTTGCCCTTGTGTCTCTAATGAATTCCCTTTAAAAATGTTTCTTTTCGTTTAGAAACCATGTATGGTAATCTGGATTTTTTCGATTTTTTTTTATTGTTGTGGGATTGATATGGAGTTTATTCGAGCATTCATGTAAAAGCGAAACATTAGTATGTGGATGAGTTTGATGAGCGAATATTGCCATTAATAAACAATATACATCGAACCTTTCGGTCGTAAATTCGCCCTTCTCCCCGACAACCTTTTAACTTAAATTCGCTATATAGGACCTTGTAGATACGAATCACTACTTTCGATTTCCTTGTCACTATCTTATCTTCTCGTAGTACAAAGTAATTGCACATTGAGAAATCATTGAATATATTGTATTTAGATTTTCACTACGATCACTATTGAGAGATCTTCTCAACACTCGAAGATAAAATCCGTATCTCCGCGCGCCCATGTAATATCCTCTATATATCCATCCAGTTTTCCTGCTACAATCAAACCACATTTCCTAATGAAATATATGTTGTACAACTTACTAGCTACTTTATCTATTTGGTTGTAATTGCACATCAGAAATGATTAAA